ACAATGTTAATGAGGCAGGACTAGTGTAAGGTGTATTCTCAGTTACCACTCTTTCTCAAGTCAACTTGCACACTTGCTTGAGTCTTACATGTTATCCTACGAGAGAGAGAAGGGAAGGGAAGTGAGCAAGGGAGAGGGACCTGACTACTATCAAAACAGAAGACCCAGGAGTGGACCGTGTCTAAGGGACCCAGGACCTTTGCACTGAGAACCTCCTAGGCTCAGGAGAAGATCAATGCCAAGACACTTGGAGCTCTCCCAGAGATGCTAGAACCACAGATGTTGACTCAAGGGAAAATTAATGCCAAGGCACGTGGAGATCTCCAAGGAACGTTAGGGCCAGGTATTGACCCAAGAGAAGAGCAATGCCAAGACACATGGCAATTTCCAAGAAAAGCCAGGGCCAGATATTGACTCAAGGAAGATCAATGCCAAGACACTTGGAGGCCTCCAAGGAACACTAGGACCACAGCTATTGACCCAAGGGAAGATTGATGCCAAGATACATGAAGATCTCTAAGAAAGATTAATTCTCAGATGTTGAAAGGAAATAGGACCTTCCCCCATGCCCTGAATTTGGACTTCTAGCCTCCCAACCTGTGAGACAATAAATTTCAATTTGTTAACACCATCCACTTGTAGAATTTATGTTATGTTGTTGTTATGTGCTGTAGAGTCGGTTCCGATTCATAGTGACCCTGTATAGGGTTTCCGAGGCTGTAAATCTTTACGGGAGCAGAAAGCCTCAGCTTTTTCCTGCAAAACAGCTGGTAGTTTCGAACTGCTGACCCTGAGGTTCGCAGCCCGATTTGTAACCACTATGCTACCAGAGCTCCTTAATTATAGCAGCATTGAATAATGAAGTCAATGGCCATTTGGTAATTTTTCCGGTTTAGGAGAATTATGAACAAAGTTGTTCTGAGAATTCTTGTATAGGTTTCTTTTTGTGCACCTGTACTGAGGTATGGAATTGCTGGGTCATATGGTAAATCGGTATTTAGCTTTATAGGAAATTACTAAACAGTTTTCCAAAGTGGTTGAGAAATAAGGATTCTTAATTTAACTTTTATTACCAGTTACTTTACAAAATGGCCTCAATACCCATTGGTGCAGGTGGTGTGTGAGGGAGGGTTCTCTTTAGAAAAAGGGACACTGCCAGCAAATCAAAAAAATCTCACCTGTTACTTTAATTTACAGTCTCTGGATGCTAAGGATATAGTATTTTGGTTTCTTTTTTTTTTCTCTTTAATTTTTATTTTATTTTGTTATTGAGAATTTACACAGCAAACCATATACCAATTCAACAATTGCTACATGTAAAATTTAGTGTGACATTGTTTATATTCTGTGAGTTTTACAGCTATTCTTACCCTCCTTGTGTGAGTTGGTCCTCCCTCACAGACCCGTAACATACCTAAATAATCTTTGAAGTTGTTATTGTTCATTTGATCCCATACTGATAGTTCTTAATGCTCAAGGCAGAACTTTTTTTTTTTTTTTACTAGAGAAACTATACTATTGCTCAGTTTTAAGAAGGCCTCAGGGGGTATTTTTGGTTTAAGGCTTAAAGATGATCTCCGGGCAATAGTTTCAGGGGTTTATACAATCTCCATGGCCCCTGGAAGTCTGGAGTCTTCAAGAATTTGACATTCTGTTCTACATTTCCCCTCCTTTTGCTCAGGATTCTACTATGGAATCTTTGATGCAAAGATTTTCTGGTCTCATGGCAAAAGAGGCAGTTGTTCCTGGAGGTAATGATTTCTATATTCCATATTCTCTTCCTATTCCTTTCTCTCCTTCCTCTGTTGTTCTAGGTGAACAGAGATCAGCTGTTGTGCCTTGAATGGCCACTTGGAAACGTTATTATCTTTTTTAAAAGCTCACTTAGAATTCTAATGTGTAGCTAGGGTTGAGAACCGCAGTGTTGGCTGATAACTTGAGAAAGAAGAGGAATTGGCATCTTCAGATAATGGTCTCAAGTTGAAAGATAGAGGTTTCTATTTAGGATTGGGGAGACTTGAACAGATTTAGTTGATAGGTTAAAGAGATTGAAGAGACATTAGAATACATTTTTAGGAATATTGGGCCTAGGTGAAATCAAGAACAGAGGTGAAAGGATTCAGAATGACCCAGATTAGAAGCAGGAGGAAGAAGAAACACAAAATGCAGTATGGCCTAGGCTCATTTTGTACAAAGCCGAGGGTATCTCCAGATCCAGGGGCATAGTAATAGGTATTCAATATCATTTGTCTAATGATGAAACTTTCAAATAGTCTTGTGCTTAAAGGTATTTGTCTTTACCTGTATATTCTCTTTCCAGAAAAGAAATTTCTGGAAAATTTTGCCATCTGGACTTGCTGACCCTCAAATTTTCTGGTAGTGTACGTTCTGTATACTTGGACATCCAGTGTATGTGAACAATGCAACTGTGTGTGTGCAGCCCACACAGGCCTGGTTTGCTGCTTAACTGAACATCTTGTATCAGTACTGGCCTTGTGGGGAGGGAGTACTTTGTAAGAATGCACCTAGTCTCATCTGAGGGAGACCAAATCTTGGGGCTCAAAACTTGAATCTTGCACTAGTGCAAGAAATAGAAATTGTACTATTTTCAAAAAGAGCCCCTGGCTGGTTCAAAGTTAACACATGCTTGGCTAAGGTTTGAGTCTACTCAGAAGAAAGGTCTGGCAATCTATGTTTGGAAAATTCATCAGTGAAAACCCTATGGAACACTGATCTATTATGATTCACATGGGACTTCTATGAAATAAAATAGACTTGGTGGCAACAGGTTAAGGGCTGTGATTAATTATGAAAGAAGGGAAACAAGAAAGGCATTGATCTCTAAGATGTTCTAGACCCATCCTAGAGAAATCACAACTGAATGTTCATAGTTGTTTTCTTCTAGAAGGTGAACATCTAGCACAGATATTAACAGCAAGATGCATCTTAAAAAATGTGAGCCAACGGAAGGAAAATTGTAATGGAACGAACCTGTCCCTTTGTGTAGGGGGTTATGGATCTAGGTGTGAGGATGCTGCTGAGACAGCAATCATGTGGAAAAGGGTAGAAACCAAGTGTGGGGGTGGATCGACAAAATTTGTAGCATCCAGTGAAGTCATTTGAGTTGTAATTCTTTGTACCAGGGAAAGAATTTATATTAATATTTTCTAATCGGTATCCAATGTAATAATGAATACCATTCAGTGTGGCTTAAGGACCAAAAATGACCAAAAAAAAGTTGTAGCATCATGGAATTCTAGAAGAGGAAAAACTAATTTAGAGTGGGAACAATTAGGACAGTGGATGCCACTAGGTGGGCGGGGACAGGGACTGAAGGGGAAATGGAATGAGGACACTTTCCTGAGTGACAGTGATAGTCTGTTTGTTGATAAGGGTTTCGCTTACACAGCTGTATGCATACTCAAAATTCATCAAATGGTGCACTGATGATTGTGCAGGCAGTTTAATCTGTGTGTGTGTGTGTTGTACCTCAAATGAAAGAGAAACTTTAACAAAAACTAATCCAGTTGTTGATGTTGTGTTGTTGAGTCAGTTCCGACTCATAGAGACTTTGTGTAAGGTTTGAGATGTAAATCTTTGTGGGAGCAGAAAGCCTCCTCTTTCTCCCTTAGAGCAGCTGGTGAGCTTGACCGCCAACCTTGTGGTTTCACAGTCCAGTGTTATCCTATGGTATCACCATGCTCCTATATAATCCAATAGTGGCATGATTTTTTTTTTTTTTTTTTCTTAGCTTCTTAGTCAACTTGTATTATAATGAACCATTATTTCCTCCTAATTTGGAAAAATACCATGAAATTTATTATTATAATTAGAGGCTAAGAAGTTTAATTCAGTAATAATAATGATAATAAAGATATTTCATTTAGTAACTAAAGCATTATGGATGTTCAGCTATTGCTAAAGATTCTTAATGGGTATTGCAGCTGGTAAAGTCGAAACTGCCTCACTGAGTTAGCAAGCACCCTTTCCTTTGAGTCAGAGTCAGAGTAGCTAATATCAATGGTTCAAGCAGCACAACAAGTTAATAATGAAACTCTGCTTCTAGCTTATGGATCTTATCAAGCTGGAAATGTTCTTGCAGTCTGTTCCTTATTTTCACAACCTGACTTACGGAGACTTTGGAAAAATGACTAAAAGTTCCCAAAGCATCTCACTAAAAATATATGAGGTGCATGTCATCACTTTCAGTAAAAGAAGAAAAGAAACTTCTAGAATCTATGAATTCTCTGACCATGTGAACTAAGAGGTCTCGTTCAGTATATAGGGTCTAGGGTAATGCTCACCAACTGTACCCAGTGTGGCTTACAAGCACATGGTAGTATTGAACTTCCCTGCTTTTTTGGAGTCAGACGGGGTCATGTGATTTGCTCTGGCAATGAAATGTGTCATATTCGAGGAAGAAGTTTTAAGCTGTGGTTGCCAGATTAAGCAAGTAAAAATACAGAGCATCCAGTTAAATTTGAATTTCAGATACACGATTTGTTTTTTAGTTTAAAGGTCTCATGCAATACTGTGACAGACTTCTTACTGTTGTTGTTAAGTGCTGTTGACTTGGTTCTGACTCATAGCCACCTTGTATAGGGTGTCTGAGGAATGGCTGGTGGGTTTGAACCACTGACCTTGTGGTTAGCAGTCCAGTGCTTATCCTACAGGAAATTAGTTGTTATATATCTGAATTCAGATTTAACTGGGTATTGTGTATTCTATTCGTCAACCCTACCGTAAGTGCCGGGTGCTTTAAGTGATGTGATGAGCTGGGCCCTTGGTGGCCTGCAATACATAGGTAATATGACCTGCCTTTTCTTGATCATTGAGATTGGGGTATTCGCTATTACCCACCACAGGTTCCAGAGCCTGTACCGACAGATACAGGTATCACATGACTTACAACCTTAACCATATCTTATTCTGTAGGATTGAGATTCCATGGGTATTTTTCCTTGATAATCTTAACTGTGGTTCTTCCCTTTTCCCCTAAGGTGGATTTAGGCGAAGGCAAGATTTGCTTCTGTTGTGAAGAATACCAACCAGCCAAATGCACAGACAAAGAAAATGCCTTGAAACTCTTCCCAGTTCAGCCTTGTAACGCTGTTCACCTTCTACTTAAGGTATCTTGAATGGGATATGTTGTTGTTAAGTGCCATTGAGTCTGTTCAGACTCATCACAACTCTGTATAGGGCTTTTTAGGAGTGGCTGGTGAACTTGAACCACTGACCTTGTGGTTCAAACCAACCTTGCGGTCCAGTGTATTATCCTAAAGTGCCACACCAGGGCTCCATACACCATAAAGCCCTCAAGAAGGCAATGCTATTGAAAATATTCCTACTTACTTACCTTTGTCAAATAACTAAGCTGCAGAAAGCAAGTCCGAGTGGCCCCACATTGGGGACGCGGAGGCAGAATTGGGTGTAGAAAGACCTGTAGGTTACTGTGTGCACCTTAAAGTATGAGTGAGCAGCTTGCTTTGTGTTCAAGAATTGTAAGATAGTAAAAAAAATGTAAAAGATACAAAATAAGGGCCAAGGGGATAAGCGGTAGATCAATTTTAAGTATTGAATTTGTATTCACACACACTTGTACAATCATATGCGAGTATATGTAGACAGCCCCCAGGTGGTGGAAACTGTTAATGAATTCAGTTTCAAACCAAAAGGTTGGAGGTTTGTTGGGTTATGAATTATAACCTGAGTCCCCCTGGGAGTGTCTCAGATGAAAGCTCTAGTGATCAGCTTCTGAAAAATTAGCCATTGATTATCCTGTGACCACAGTTCTCCTCGGTCACACATAGAGTCGCCACAAGTCAGAAGTGCCTGGACAACTGGGTATATGTGTACATATACATGCCATACAATACTGTGACATACTTACATATACTAAAAAGTTTATATAGATATGGTGCTGTTTTGAAGTGCTGTCAAGTTGGTTCAGACGCATAGTGACCCTGTATAGGGTTTCCTAGGAGTGGCTGCTCGGTTTAAACCACCACCATTGTGGGTAGTGGTCCAGTGCTTATACACAGTGCTATACACACAAATGTATCTACAGCTGGGTATAAAATATGATATAACTTTTAGCAAAACCTGTAAGTTGCATGCTCATTTGCCACTGTCTGACATTCATTTGTCCTAGGAGCTGCTGTGTGTTCTGTGAGGCATACATCAAGATGAGATCTTGGCCAGAACATATAAAATTAATACAAACACTTTATCTCTTGTAGAACAGGCAACAGTTATAATAATTGAAAAGGAACTCTGGTAGCATAGTGGTTATGAGTCAGGCTGCTAACCTCAAGGTCAGCAGTTCGAGACTACCCGCAGCTCCATGGGAAAAAGAAGAAACTTTCTGCTCCTGTAAAGATTTACAGCCTCAGAAACCCTATACAGGTTGCTATGAATTGGAACCGACTCCACAACACACCACCATTACCACCACCACCACCTTAATAGTCAAAAGAGAGAAAAACAAATAAAACAAAAACAGAGGATTCCAGTTGTAGAAAATTATATAACTAGTTGGAATTAAGGAAGCGGATAAAAGTTGCTTCCTAACTAAAGAAAGATTATTAGCCCAGTGAAAGTCAGTTGGTGAACCATAAGGTCTTGCTCTTGGTCAGTCAGCCGCTGGTGGCTTTCTTTAGATCTTTGTTTTAGCTTTGTTTTTGTGGGGAGGAGGCATCTCTAAGAAAAGAGAACTATTCAGCACGATCTATTCTCTGGGTTGTGTAGGATGTAAACATGGCCTTCTTTATTTGGGCTCTGGATTTTTTGGTAGCTGAGTCACCCCCAAACTTTCTGAGCCAGGACTTAGCTTGGGGAAAGCCCCGCTAAGGAGCCAAAGCTGTGGTAACAGAAATCTTTGGAACTGCCGGTGCCACTATTTTAAGACATGTGTTTAGAGCAGAGCCCTATTCACTCTCTGGCTGGCCCGCCTGCTGCATCGTGCTAGTTCAGTGTTTGGGCAGCACTGCCAATTGCTCCTGAAATAGAATCCATGGCCACAAATGAAGCAGCTGTCCTGGTGGGAGGCTGGGGGAGGGGAACGCTGGGAATTGTTATGATTGTGGACACCAGCTACTGAAGAGAGGTTCACTGTTTTCCTGGGAGCCATGCTTCCAGACACCACTCTGAAGTTCATTGTAATACCAGATCTTTCTGCGATAGTGTCGTAGTTACAGAAATACCACAAGGGGTGGCTATAAAGAACAGAAATATGTTTTCACACATTCTGAAGGTTAAAAGTCCAGATCAGGGTGTCAGCCATGTTGACTCCTTCTTTGTAAATAGTTCTGATGTTCCTTGGTTACGAGACGTGTAGGTGATCCTCAAACGGCTTCTGCCTTCTGTGTGTGTGTAACTTGATCTTTTTTTAACTCAAAGATAAGTGGGTTTAGAACCCACTTGTTGTTGGCATCTACATATATTAGAATTAGGATTCCAACACATCTTTTTTCTTTTTGGTGGGGGGTGGGGTGGGAAGGGAATGTAATATAATCCATAATTGGAAGCTTCTAAAATATTCAAAAATTAAATACAAAGCATTGTATGAGGGTCATGCTAATAACTGGCCCATATTTCAGTACGTACAATGGACCCAATACTATCCAAGTCTTTTGCATGTATTTTTTTCATGGAAGTTGTCTTTTTAGGGCATTTTTATTACTGTTAAAAATTAGCATTGCATTCGGGTGATTCCAAAGTGCTGAGCTACTGTGGTGATGCCGTTGTTTCCCTGTTATAGAAAGTTCTCTTCGCCTTGTGTGCCTTGAATGCCCTGACCACTACTGTCTGCTTAGTGGCTGCTGCCCTCCGCTACCTCCAGATATTTGCAACCAGAAGATCTTGCATCGTAAGTCTGTGCAAAATGGCGCCCTGACTGGGTTTGGGCTGAGCTGGCCCATGGGTCTTGCGTCAACCCATTATTTTTCTCACTGTGCCTCTGTAATGAAGGCTGTTGACTAACTGACGTGCTTTTCATTAGGATGAATCCCAGATTTCTGCTGAGGAAGTGGAAGAGCATGGACGTATCCCAGACCCTGATGACTTCGTGCCTCCAGTGCCACCCCCTTCCTATTTTGCCACATTTTACTCATGCACACCCCGGATGAACCGCAGGTATATCTCCTAAGTCCCCGGAGTGCAGAGTGTAGGGAGTATTCTCAGTATGAAGACCAGAGGATCTCCAGAACTGTCTCAGTGTGAGCTCGTATTTCTCTGTGAAATCTAGACAACCTGTTCTATTCCAGGGATTTCTATTCTCTCTCTCACTCTTTGTATGAGGAACTAGATGAGATCAAAGACAGCTCAAACCTTGACCTAAGGATATACTTTCTCATTTTCAATGATCTTTTCTAGGGGAAAACTGATACCCACTAAGATAATGGCTATAATTTGACATGATTGAAAGCTGCTGTTGCCCTGGAAACCCTCCCTGCCCAAACCCAAATCCATTGCCCTGGAATATGACTCTTAGCAACCCTATAGGACAGAATCAACTTCTCTATAGGATTTCCAATGGAATCTTGGTGCAGCACTATGGGTTAATGTGCTGGACTGCAAGGTCAGTTTGAACCGTAAGGCCAGTGGTTCAAGCTCACCAGCCACTCCTTGAAACCCTATGCAGGGTCGCTATGAATCAGAACTGATCTGATGGTACTAAAACAATAACAAACCTCTTACTTACAGTTCTAAAAGAAAATTTCTGAGTTCCATAAAAAGGCTAGTATCTTCAGCTTGATTTTTAGAGGGCCACAACTTTTGTTTTCTACTTGTCAGGCTGCTAACCTCAAGGTCAGTAGTTCAAAACTGCCAGCGGTTCTGTGGGAGAAAGATTTACAGGCTCGGAAAACCTGTGCAGGGTCACTATGAGTTGGAACCGACTCCACGGCATATAACTACCACCACCACCAAAGTACATAGGAAGGAGCTCTGGTAGTGTAGTGATTACCAGTTGGGCTGCTAACCGCAAGGTCAGCAGTTCAAAACAACCAGCTTCTTCATGGGAGAAAGATGAGATTTTCTGCTCCCATAAAGATTAACAGCCTCGGACACCCTATACAGGGTCGCTATGAGTTGGAACCGACTCCATAGCATATCACCACCACCACCATAGTACATAGGGGGAGTTGTCAAACAGAGTTGGTGCCAGGTTTGGGGGTTTTGGGAAGCCATTTTCTAATGCTTTTGAGTTTGACATAGGTAGGAACCACTAGTACATTAACTCTGTGAATGCTCTCCTCACAGTTCCTCGGCGTAAACTCTACCTGCAACCCCTCCCCTGCCCACTTGCAGAGGCAGGCGGCCTCTGGGTGTACAGATGGTTTGCTGTGGATCCATGGGACAGCTCAACTTCCCTACTATTCAGGGAGTGATGAACTGGGATTCTGAAACTGCAGGGGCCAGGATGGCTTTCCTAGTCTTTCAGGAAATGAGCCAAGAAATACAGAGTCAAGGCAACAAAACTCATTTTCTTTGTGTACATTAGGCCACATTTAGTAAAGCCCCACCTCAAGCTGAATGTAGAGGGTACCTTGGAAGGCAGTGACATTGACTGTTACTTCATGGCTGGGAAGAGAAATGCTCCCTTCACAAGAATTTTTGGCTCTCTGAGTTGGTGGGTGACCTAAGAGGAGGTAACAGGCAGATTTAATTTCCTGTGGTGGCAGAAAGGGAAAGTGACTCATGTGGGTTTAGGGTTCTGTTGTCCACAGGGCATCCTGTAGACTCCCCTGACCTTCCTCTCTCCTCTCTTTTCCTTCTTCTGTCTGTTTCTCCCTAACCTCTTTGATATCTGGGATCCACCCCTTAATTTGTCCCTCTGAGTTCCAAGATGGCCCCTTGCCAAATCCAAGTTGGAAGACGACAGATAAACTTCCCACCAGGGGCCTCACCATTCAGAACTTTTCAGGGGGTAGAGATGCATGTGTGTGAGTGAGTGTGTGTATGGGGGAGGGGGGACTAATAATGTAAAACACTCTTGTGAGAAAGAAAACCCCCCTTGGGTCTAAGATGCGTATCTAGAACCCTAAGTCAGATTTGGAGTCCTGGTATGGTGCTGTGGGTTAATGTGCTGTACTGCAAAGTCAGTTTGAACTGCAGGTTCACCGGTCACTCCTTGGAAACCCCATACGGGGTTGCTATGGGTCAGAACGGATTTGATGGCACTTAACAACAACAAGTCAGACTTCCCTTTGTTTCCTGTAATTTTGCCAACACCAAAGGGCAGTCCCTTTTCTTTGTAAAATGGTTAAATTTATTCACCTTTAGCTATATGTTCATAAAGATATTTTAAACTTGATCAACTTTGCTAGATTTACAGGATCAGTCAAGTTTACAGACACTAGCTGTTTTACTTCAGTGGGTCATTTCCTTCTTGTAAGCAGAGAGGCAAGAATATTAGCGATTGTTTGCATTGGTTTTTTTCCCACAACCAGTTAAGAGTTTTCGCACAATAGAAGGTCTCCGTTTCCTGTAAGGTATTATGACCTCTATTCATTTAACTTCTATAAATACAACCACTTCAAGCCCTGGCAGCTCCTTGGGAAAAAGGGCTTCTCAATTTACCAACATAGACAGAAGTCTAATTGCTGAGAAGGCTTCAGTCCAAATCTGCATTATTTACTGTGTGAATCCATTTGTAAGCATAGGAGGGGCCTGCGTACCCCAGCCCCACTACTCCAGGGAGCCCCCCATTCTCAGAAAGAGGCTTGAGTCAGGAATCAAGGAGAGACTCCATCCAAAACTATATGCATGCGGATCTAACTTTTGCCCTATTTTAGAAAACTGAAGGTTTGAAGGAGTGGGAGGTTGATCCAAGTATTTCTTACAGGTGAGGGGGAAAAATTCCTTCCCTATAGAATTTCAGAGCCCCGCCCCCAAATGCTCAGCTGATGTGGCGCTGTGGGTTCATGCGCCAGACTGCAGAGCCTTTTGAACTTCAAGGTCGATGATTCAAGCTCACTAGCTGTTCCTCGGAAACCCTATATAGGGTTGCTATGGGTCAGAACCGACTTGGCAGCACTTCACAACAACAAATGCTCAGTTGTTGGGTGGGGTGCTTCTGCCTTGCTTTCCCCACCACAGGCAGCAGCCCCACCACATGTACCCAGAAGGTACAGGATCATTGTTTGGTCAAGGGCATGTCAGCTTCAACACCACCCTTGGATGAGTTCTCAAGATCTCTTTGTAGCGTTGAAGCAGAACATTTTGCATGGTATGCTTGAGTTTCCTGTTCCTCTTCAGTGCTCATGAGCATGATCCAGTGAAAGCTTTTCCTGGAAACTTGGTGATGAACTTGAAAGAACTCAGGCACTGGATTCCCTTGCAGGGGGAGACTCAGTTTCCTCACTTGCCTGCATTGTTAATGGATAATGAGAGGATTTCTATGAGATAAAGAATAGCAAACCAGTTGCCGTCAAGTTGACTTCAACTCTGACTCTTGACAGTCCTTGTGTGTCACAGTAGAATTGTGGTGTTTTTGTGAATGTGACCTTTTGGAAGCAGTTTTCCTTTCTTCTGAGGTACCTCTGGGTAGGTTTGAACCGCCAACCTTAAGGCTAGCAGCTGAGTGTGTTAATGTTTGTACCACCCAGGGACTCCAGTCATTATAATGCTGTTGTTGTTGTTGGTTGTCCTGGAATTAATTCTCACTCCTACGGCGCCCGTGGTTGGAATCCACCTTGATGTGCTTCAGAAGAAAGGTCTGGTGAGCAGTTCTGCTCTGTTCACATGGGGTCACCATGGTCATTAGAATAGCTACCAGAAAGCCCATGTATTTTGTGGATAATTTCAGTTTTTCATCTTTAAAGATTCTTCAATAGCATGAGCTATAAAGTGAAAGCCCATTTCTCTGACCTCTTGGTCTTAAGCCATCACCCTCTTCTCTGTGGACACTCAGTCAACACTGGGTTGTGAGCCTCAAACAAAGACCACTAGAGCTAACAAGCAAACGAACAGATACAGTGGGCTGTGTTAATTCTCTGTCAGGAGACACTACAGTGAGCCCAGGCGGGTTACCCAGTAAGCAGTGTAAACATGAGTACTTGTGATTGTGTGTGAATCTGTAGTGAACAGTATCACATGGGTTTCATATGGAATTATTCACTACACATTAGTAAATTAGCACAAGTAAGCCCGTGTTTACCTTGCTTTCCTTACTGTCAGGGAATATGGATTTGAAATGAGGCTTTAATTCTGTAGGCAGTTGCTGTGGGGTAGGGAGAGAGACAGATGCCAGCGAGACCTAGAAGTAGAATCTTCGATGTGGTGAAAAAATGTGAAATTGTTCACTAGAGATTAGTAAGCACAAGTAAGCCCATGCTTAGCTGGATGCAGGTGTAGTGCAGAAGGGAAAAACCCCACAGGTTTGTAAGTGCTAGAAAGGTGACTCATGGGAGTTTTGCTAATTAAGGATGGTACATGGGCTCTCTGATAAGACAGGAGGAGTTCGTGGGTCTCACTGATGAAAACTAGTCACATTGTCGTAGTCAGGAAAGAAGTCCAGGAAAGGTTTATAGTTTTATAGTTGTTTTTCTTTGTTGTTGTGGTAGTGGTGAAACATATTTATCAGTACAATTGCTAATCCAACATTTTTCACATGTACAACTCAGTGACCTTAATTACATTCATTAAATTGTATAACCATCACCATTATCCATTTCCAAATCATTTCCGCTATGCAAAGACTCCCCCCCTCTACCCCCCCACCCACCCCCCCAGCATTGGTAGTTCGTAAACTGCTTTGGCTGGATGGGAGAGTCGGAGTGAAATCTATACAAAAGTCCTGCTTTGCAGGGAGTTTATTCCTTCAGTAGTGACTCTGACCCCTCCCAGCCATCTGGGACATCCACACACCTGTGCCATTCGCATCAATGCCTGGCCCTCTCCCTTCCCTTGCAGTTCAAACAGTGAACAACACAAATGTAACTGAAAAAAAGGAAAAATTTTCTTTTCTTTTCATTCGGGCTGCCGATGTTTCATTCTTTTAAACCCCAGGATTCGAGGAGTTTTGTGGTTAGAGAAAAAGAGCATCATACCTTTTCAATATTTTTTAGTTGTTGTTATCAGTTGCATTTTAGTAAATAGGCACAAAGAATGAAATGAGACTACTATTAATCCAGAATACCTCTCCCACAAAAGCAGTCCCTTGCATGCAACTGACCCCAGAACCAGTCTTTTCATCAACTTCCTTTAGTTAGTAGGTTTTTATTTTTTCATTCCATGAACAGATGGATAACAGATTAAACTTTAGCCATTTCTTTTTTTTCTCCTTCATTTCCAGTAGTTGATAGCTATTGGAAGAGAAGAAAAAAGCTTTTCCATCCTTCTTTATGATAATTATTTAAAGATTTAGGTATTTTATTATTGGACTTGAGTGTGTGTGTGATTTTTCCATGAATGCTGGCAGGAAGTTTTGCGAGTCTTCTGTTCTGCTAGTTCCTGTGTGATGCTGTGGGTTAATGCGCTGGACAGTTTGAACTGCAAGGTCAGCAGTTCAAGCTCACCAGCCACTCCTTGGAAATCTTATACAGGGTTGTTATAGGTTGGTACAGACTCGATGGAACTTAACAACAACATTGAGGGTTCCTAACCCACAGGGCAAAACTCAGCTATTCAAGAGCCTTTTACAAGGTAGAAGCACCTTTCATTTGGATAGTGGGAAGATAGTTTGGGAGGAAAAAAATCTTTAATTCAGTGTTTTAAAAAATATTAAGTATAGGGGTCATAACACTTGCATTAGTCTATAGAATAAATGTAAATATTCAATAGCTGAAAAATAGTTCAGTCCTGAACTATTGTCACTTAAAGGATGAGAAGTAAAAAAGTCTGAGGAGGGGAGAATAAAGAAGAACAGAGCGGAAGCCAGAAGGGAAGGGGAGGGAAAATTGCTCAGGAAAGAAATTAAGTTTAGATCAAGGGTATAGTAGCCATCCTTGTAATGGCAGAAACAGAAAATAGGAGGTAAACAAGCCCTCGGAAGTACAAAACACCCCGGTATCCACATCCTTTGTGTGATCCTCATTTGACAATTTTAAACTTTTAAACATCTCTTGCTGAGATCTTGAGCTTGTTGTCGTGTTTGTCATTGGCATTGCTGACCATTTGCTAAGTTGCCTGAGCTGACTGTCAAGTTCAGAGAAAAAATTAATACCACCTTGATTTGTTTTCCTTCTGGAATTATCATTAACTGGCTTGTTTTTTAAATTTTACCAAATCTTCAACACCTTGCCTGACGTGGACCAAGTACTCAGGAAAAGTTTGTTCAGTGATCAGCTGTAGGAAAAGTCTGCTTTTCCTCTGGCAGTCTGCTACGTTGTCTCTGAGTACATTGTTTCTTTCTTCTTCTGTTCTTCCATTCATCCTTTCAAATGTTTATTTAATAAATAGTTGGGAGTTGGGAGTCCTGGTGTGGCGCTGTGGGTTAATGTGCCAGACTACAAAGCCGTTGGAACTGCAAGGTCGGCAGTTCAAGCTCACCAGCTGCTCCTTGGAAACCCTACACAGGGTCACTATGGGTCGGAACCGACTCGATGGCACTTAACAACAACAAAAATCATGAGTTGGTGTGGTGTTGTGGGTTAATGTGCCAGACTGCAAAGCCATTTGAACTGCAAGGTCGGCAGTTCAAGCTCACCAGCTGCTTCTTGGAAACTCTATACAGGGTCGCTATGGGTCAGAACCGACTTGATGGCACTTAACAACAACAACATCACGAATTAGACATTGGGGGGCATCCTGACAAAACACTTTTGTCTGGTACTACTGCAGAAGAAGGAGTCCTGGCATGGTGCTGTAGGATACGCACTAGACTGCTAACGGTAAGGTCAGCAGTTCAAACCCACCAGCCGCTCCTCAGAAACCCTATACAGGGTTGCTATGAGTCAGAACTGACTTAATGGTATTTAACAACAGCAACTGCAGAAGAAAGAGTCCTGGTGTGGCGCTGTAGGGTAAGCACTGGACTGAGGAAAGAAAGTTCTGGCAATCTGCCTCCATTATGATTACAACCAACAGAACACTATGGGGCAATTCCACTCTGTAGCACATGGGGTTGCTGTGAGTCAGAATCAACTCAAACAGCATTCAACAACAATAATGTAAAAAATAAACATAACAACAACAAACCCCTAGTTGTTTGTTTGTTTTTTTAATTGAGATAAAATTCATATAATATAAATGAACCATTTTGAATGGAGCAATGATTAAGCACTCAAGTAACTGAGAAGGTCAGTGGTTTGAACCCACCAGGGACTCCGCAGGAGAAAAGCATGCTTCTGTAAAGATTACAGCCTTGACCCTATAGGGCAGTTCTCCTCTGTCTTACAGGGACTCTATGAGTCAGGACCCACCTGACAGCACACTGCAGGAACAAACATTTGAAAGAGTACAGTTCAGTGACATATGTTTCATTCACAATAAATAGTGTGCAGTCATCACTGTTAATCTAGTTCCCAAAAGGAGACCCAGTTCCCATTAACAGTCACTCCTCATAGCTTCCTCCACACAGCCCTGTTTGCTTTTTGACTAGTACATTTAGAAGGAAAGATGGCATTGCATCTTATCTGATGTCCTTTCAATGGTTATTCAATCAGTTGGCATCCTAGATTCTTCTCCCTCTTCTGGACTGGGATACGGTGGCATGGTGAGGGTGAGTGAGTTTCCCCTGCTTGTGCCTCTGTAATCACATGACCAGTCTCCTGATTCCATGATGCTTTTCCTAGGATGGTTGGTTCTGATGTTATTCCACTCCCTCATATCTATGGAGCTCGGATCAAAGGCGTGGAAGTGTTCTGCCCCCTGGACCCCCCGCCTCCATATGAAGCTGTGGTGAGCCAGGTGGATCAGGAGCAGGTACCATCCCGTTTCTCTCCTGTACATTAAGTGCAAGTGGGAAAAATGGAACACTTCACAGGGAACAATGGGGGTGATCCTGCTGTCTGTGCTCTCTGTATTTGTATTTTTATTGTGGTAAGTACACACACACATACACACATACATACACATATATTAAAAATTATCTTAGGTTGGATTCTTTAGAGAAGCAAAACCAGTTATGGATATAGATAGGTAAAGAAAGAGATTTATTTCAAGGAAATGGCTCACACACATGTGAAGGCTGGCAAGTCCCAAATATGTGGGTCAGACATATGGCTGGAGGCTTCTCCTGACTCATATGATTGCAGGGATTGATGAACCCCAAATCAGCAGATTAGATGGCAGGCTGCAGGCTCACAGTCTAATGATTCTCAGAATCTGCAGGTCAGGTGACAGGCTGCTGGCTCATGTCCCAAATTGCAAATGGTAATAAATAATAGACTTTTCACTATTTCAGATGGAGGTCAGATGATCCATGAGTTGGATGCAAGATTGAGAGAGAAAAAGTGAATTTTGCTAGAACATCCATATATATTGGATGCAGGTCATACTTCCAAAGAAACTCCATCACCAAATGGAAGCTAATTACATAAAATGGAGAATCATGGCCTAGCCAAATGGATATGGAGCCTTAACATCACACAAAACATTTGCAACTCAACAATTTTTACATGCAGCGACAGATTACATTCATCATGTTGTGCAACCTACCACCATTATTCAAAATCATTGTCTCCTAAGCAGTGACTCCTCATTTTCCCCTTCCACTCACTGCTGATAACAGGTCCTAAACTTTGGTCTCTGTGCATTTGTCTATTCTAGATGTTTCATGTAAGTGGGCTCGTACAATATGTACCCTTTTGTGACCACCTTCACTCCGTATAAGATTTTCAATCTTCCAAGACTTGATTTCTCTTTATGGTTGAGTAGCATCCCATTGTATGTATATAGACCACATTTTGTTTCTGCATTTTTGTCAATGGACCTTGACCTTGATTCCCCCTTTTGGCTATTGTGAAATGTACTGCAGTAGAGGTTTATGTTTTGTACCTGACTTCATTTCTTTGGAGTATGTACCTAGGAGTGGAATTGTTGGGTCATATGATAGCACTATATTTAACTTTTTAAGGAGCCACTAAAATGTTTTCCATAGTGGTTGTACCATTTTAGTTGCCCACCAGTAATGGATGAGAGTTTAAATTTCTCCAAATACTCCCCAACTCTAGTTCTGCTTTTAAGCAATTTACTGGAGTCTGGCTTATGGCTGAGTTAAATATCAACAAAACAGCCCTCTTTTTTTTTTTTTTTTTTTGTGCTGCAGGGATCATCATTCCATGTGCCAGAAGGATCTGAAGCTGCTTCGAGCCCATTAGAACCAGTGTGCACACAAGGTACTAAATACGTGGTTGTTACCCAAACCGGGAGAATTGTTGATCTGTCTTTTCAGTAGATTAAAATATGTTAAAATAACCATCTGTATGATATTTTGTTGGATTGCTGAAGCAAATGGTTCAAACTTAAGCCTTCTTTACAAGTACAAAAATAGTCAACAATTAGGGCTTACAAGTGGATGATAATTGTTGTTGTTATGTGGATTTGAACCACTGACCTTTTGTTTACCAGCCCATTGCTTATCTTACAGCACTACACCATAATATGTGAACAAAAAACCCATATCCTTAATATCTTTTATGAGTAAATAGATATTCTCAGATTAGTCTCAGATTACGGAGTTTAATTTGGCATTGCTGTGTTTTCTAATCTCAGGTTTTTCTTTTTCCTGTTAAAATGAGATGGGCAGAAAAAAAGATTCAATTATTGCAGGTGAGAGTGTGCTGTGTTACTTCCAAGTTAGGTCCAGGCCAGGGTGTTGTAACATCTAGTTACAGTGAGTTCTGATATTCAATCCTACATTAAATACTAGAGGGGGTTTGCAATTATCCTAGTAACTTTAGAGAGCATTATTACAGCTTTCTGTATTTCAAAAGGTTTTAAATGACCCAGAAAATCGTCCACTGGGACAAAATTGCAAATGGTAATAAATAATGAATCAACTTTTAGCAATTTTAGATGAAGATAATTTTTCTGCTGTGCCATTCAGAATGGGTTTCCATTTCACTTCTGTTTGCCTTTCATATATTTTTAAACATTTTTATTGTGATTTGAGTGAAGGTTACAGGGAAATTTGATTTTCCATTCAACAACTCATACACATTTAGTTTCATGACATTGATCGCAGTACCATAAATGTACCAGTGCTGTTCCCATTTCCTTCCTGTGTTTACGTTTCCATTCGTCCTGCTTTCCCACCCATTCTTGTTGTTTGAAGTTTATCCTGGGGCAAATACTACTCTTCTGATTTCATAAGATTGATTGTTCTAAGGAGTACATACCTCAGTGATGCTATTGCTCACCCTATTGTTTGGTGGTAAGTTGAGGCATGGGAGTGAGTTCATCTCCAGGCTGGACGAGTGATCAAGGGCCGCCGAGGGCATTATCAGTCTTCATCAGATCAGTAAATCTTGTCTTTAAAAAAAAAATATTTTGAGTTTCATTCCACATTTTTGCCACACACTAGTTAGGGCTGTCTATTATGATACCTTTCAGAGTGGTCAGTGGTAATTGGGTACCATCTGGTTCTTCTGGTTTCAGAGTGGTGGAAGCTGAGGTTCACAAAATGATAGAAAAGATGCCAGATATCACATGATAGAATTTTACAAGACCAATATTGCACATACCTTTTTTTAAACAGCCTGCAAAGTGTATGCCAAGATTGTATTCTTTCTTCATATTTATTCAGTCTGTAAAATTAGCAAATAATCTGAGAAGCTGGATTATATAAAGTTGAACATGACACCAGAATTAGAGGAAGACTCATTAACAACCTGTGATATGCAGATGATACCACTTTGCTTGCTGAATGTGAAGAGGACTTAAAATATTTACTGATGAAGATCAAAGACCACAGCCTTCGGTATGGGTTGCACCTCAGTGTTGTTGTTATGTACCGTGGAGTCGGTTCTGACTTATACCAACCCTGTACAGGGTTTCCGAAGCTGTGAATCTTTACGGGAGCAGAACACCTCATCTTTCTCCTGCGGAACCGCTGGTAGTTTCAAACTGCTGACCTTGTGGTTGGCAGCCCGACTCGTAACCACTACACTACCAGAGCTCCAGCACCTCAGTGTAAAGGAAACAAAAGTCCGCACCACTGGACCAAAAAATAACATCAAGATAAATGGAGGAAAGCTTGAAGTTGTCAAAGACTTCATTTTGCTTGGATCTACAATCAGTGTTCACGGAAGCAGCAGTCAAGAAGTCCAGTGAAATTGCACAAGACCTCTTTAAAGTGTTCAAGAGCAAAGATGTCAGTTTGAGGACTAAGGTGTGCCTGACCCAAGCCATGGCATTTTCAATCACCTCATATGCATGTGAAATGCATATTCAGGATAATGAATAAGGAAGACTGTAGAAGAATCTATGCATTTGAATTGTGGTGTTGGAGAAGAATATTGAAAGTACCGTGGACTGCCAGAAGAATAAACAAATCACTGTTGGAAAAAGAGTACTCTCAGAATGCTCCTTAAAAACCAGCATGGCCAGGCTCTGTCTCTCTTGCTTCGGACATGTTGTTAGGAAGGACCAGTCTCAGGAGGGTCAGTGAAAGGAGATGGATTGGCGTAGTGGCAGCAGCAATGGACTCAAGTGTAACAGTGGTTGTGAGGTTGGCTCAGGATTGGGCAGCACTTCGTTCTTTTGTGCATAAGGTTACTATGAGTCGAAATCGTTTGGAGGGCACCTAACAACAATTAATTAGTCCTTTGGACTAATTGTTTCTTTGAATCTTTAATTTTCTTCACTCCTTTTTGCTCTGAATAGGTAAAGACCAATAGTTGTCCATAGATGGCTGCTCACAAACTTTAAAGACCCCCATCTTAAATGAAATTATGTTTCTTAAGTATGTTTGTAATTTTTCAACTTTTTTAAAAAAACTTTCCCAAACCAAAACTTCAACTCACAGAGGTTGTGATTGTATTTTCTTGAGTTAAAGTCATCCAATTCCAAAGTGGCTTTAATGGTGTATTTAGTGGCCACTGGCTCTTTATCTACACTGTCCGGGAGTTTCTCTACGCATCATGCGCTCTGGGTGATGCAAATACCTTTTCTGCCAGCGTTTCATCTGCAAGTCACAGGGCAGCCACACCACCTGTGCAGGTATTACTTTCCAGCAAACAAAGCTCATTTCTACAGCTCAGATTCAAAAGCAGGGACTCACTCAGATACTTGTACACCAGTGTTCAGTGCAACATTACTCACAATCATCAAAAGGTAGAATCAACCCAAATGTCCATCAACAGATGAATGGAATAACAAAACATGTGTGTATCCATTCAGTAGAATATTATTCAGCTATAGAGAAATGTAGTTCTGATACATGCCACACATAGATGAATCTTGAAAGCAGTAGGCTGAATTAAATTTGACACAAGAGGATACATAGTATGTGATCCCACTTAGATGAAATACATGTAGCCATATGCATGTGGTTACAAGGGGAGGTAGGGATTGGGGGATAGGGAGGTGCTACAAAAGAGGCACTGAGTTTCTGCTAAAGGTGATGGAAAACACTTGGAAATGGATCGTGATGATGGATGTATAACCTAGGGAGCATAGTTGATGCCACTGAATTGTACGTGCAAAATGGTTGAAATGGCAAATATCTTGTTACTTATTTTCCACTATATTTTTTTTTTCTAAAGCTTATTCTTAATTATCAGAAACTTTGTAAAACAGCTAGAAGCTCTTTAATGTTGCAGTAGGATTCCTCATTGGAAAAGATTCTATGCCCCTTTCAAAAAGACTGACAATTCACTATGGTTTCTAAATTTTCCTCTTCATTTTATGGTTTCTTTGTTTTTCTTAGGTGTAGAGTGGTGGTTCAGGAAGTAGGTTTTTCCCTAGTGCTGGGAACGGCCTGGAGCAAGCATCATCAATGCTCTATGACCCCTCTCTTCCCTGGCAGGTTTGGTTCCACAGGTGTTTCCTTCCCAGTATTTTGAAGTCTGCAGCTAGTGGAATAATTTATGTTTCTCCTCTCTCTCTTTTTTTTTTTTTGGAAATCAGGTGGGGACATTTCTAACACACCTGGAGAAGAATGCACATCTGTGTCAGCCCTTAACTCAAGCCTGGCACATCTTGCAAGAAGCCCGAGACCCTTCCAGCCCCTAAGGACAAGATCAAAGAGCGATCCTGTGCTCCATCATTTCACGGAGAGAGGTGATGCCAATTCCCCCAGCCCTCTGCTGAGCCCTGTGCTTGTTCCCCTAAAGGGGCCAGGTGAGAACTAGTGGCTCTGGCCAGCCCCAAATAATTTTCTGTCAGGTAGATTCTGACTCCGGGAGACCCCTTGTGTAGCAGAGTACAACTGTAGACTTCATAGGTTTTCAAGGCTGTGACCTTTGGAAGAAGGTCAGAAGGTCTTTCTTCAAGTTAGTAACCTCTGGGTAGGTTTGAACTGCCAACCTTTCAGGTAGTAGTTGACCTTTAAATTTCCATCACCGAGGGGGTCCTGGTGTGGCACTGTAGGATGAGCATTGGACTGGTAACCACAAGGTAGGCAGTTCAAACCCACTAAATGCTCCTAAGAAACCCTATACAGAGTTGCTATGAATCAGAACCAACTCAATGGCACATAACACCACCACCGCCAACAACAAGGGACTCTCTGGGCAGCCCAAGGCTCTGCATTTTAAGAGGTGTCTTGAAGGAGGGTAGCAGGTCTTGGGAAAATAAAATAGTCTACATGATATTCTCCATGCACATTAGGAATACGAGGGGGCTTGCACAAGCTCATGGGAAGATGGGATTAAAAGATAATGGAATTTTTCCATGCACTTTTTGAAGCCCTCTTATACATGTCTGTTACATGCTTTAGGAAGGTCTTTTTTTCTTTTAAATCATGGCCATCAAAAGCATTTGGATGCATACACCAGTGTGCTAGCAGCCACATGAAGAAAATGATATCAACCTAGTTCTCAATTTCTAAACACTATCCTGGGGAAATAAAAATTCTCTCCTAAGGAAAAATCCAAGGGGTGCCTTTTTTTAAGCCCCCTATTTCTATAATTTTAGATTTGTGATATTTTTACTGTGTACGAGTTGTTATTGTTAAGTACCGTGGAGTCAGTTCCAACTCATAGTGACCCTGCACAGGGTTTCCGAGGCTGTAAATCTTTATGGGAGCAGAACATCTCATCTTTCTCCCGCGGAACTGCTGGTAGTTTCGAACTGCTGACCTTGAGGTTGGCAGCCCGACTTGTAACCACTACGCTACCAGAACTCCTTGGGTATGAATAGATGGATTGCTTTAAATATGGCCCCCTTGTAAGAACGCTTTATAAAAAGAAGAAGATCTCATACTGCACATCGCTCTCTCTTTGTTTTGATTTTTTTGTGTATATAGATTTTTAAACAATAATCATTTGGGATTTAAAGATAATACTGAATCTTTTCTCGGAATACATGAGTGCCTGAACATCTTCCAACTATCTTTTCAGTATAGAAAATGATAAACTATAGAGAACATAAAGGAAGAACATGAAAATCGTCTGAAATCTTATGGGCACGGGCTTCTTTCCGTGAACTGTTCTATTAGGTGGCCTATGATTTCCTAAAATTCTATCCAAATAAAACTTGGTAAACAATCTAACTATCCTTTTTCTCGGGTGCTGGCTCTGCCCTTGCTGTCTCGGTTCCGCTCCTCCGATAGCGTGTGTTTTTTGCCACAACTCTGGACTGACCGGGTGTAAGCCTCAGCGAGAACTTGTCTTATCTCTACAGCGACCTCAGGGGGCCTCACCTTGCAGGACTGAGTCTAACAACTCTGGCACCCCACAGGCCTGGCATCCTGGCCTCTTAGATTCCTGAGGTGCATGTTCCGTGTTCACCTGTGGGTCTCCTCAACCCTGCCTAGCAAGCTGACTCAAGTTGGCCACTTGCCAGTTCCAATGGGAACTTAGTTCTCTGCACAGCTTAGGGAGAACTTTCTGGAACCTTCCACCATTCTGGAGTGCTACAGGGACGAGGATGACACTGTACCTGTTTGAAACCTCCACTTAGGAGGGACCAGATTGCCTTCAAGTTAATGAGAGTAGGCCCTGACTTTGCCTTTACACATGAGTGTCTTTGATGAGTGTTTTGGAAGACCCTGATGACAAGTACCTGCCAGACTGGGAGGACAGTCTCTAACCTTGCTTTAAGGCTCCTCAAGCCTGCCTGTCCCAGAGGAGAGGGAGTGCTCCCCTCACTCCTCCTATTCTCCCACTTCTGCTTCCTCTTTCCCACTTCCTGTTTCTCAGGCCTTGTTTACAGACTGAAGTCCCCAGTGTTGTCAAGGCTGCTGGCTGGTCTGTGGACACACAAAGAACAGGCCTGCGCTCCTCTTACCCCCTTCACAGTGCTGACTCCCATAGACATGGACATTAGGGCCTTCGGGGCTAGAGAGGTGGAGTTCCCAGGCCCTCTGGTGACTTCTGGGATGATGTTTAATGTCTCTGCGCTCAGTTTCTCTTTGTCTAACAGTCAGTGATAGATCTACCTCACAGCCATGGCTTGAGCTCCGATAATATGTCAGTGAAATGCCTTTGAGGATTTTTAGGACAAAGGTACGGTCAAAGTGAACAGAACATTATTTCCATCTCACAAGTCTTTGTCCAGTCCTTTCCTCTCTTTACGCAGCCTCTTCATCTTCCCCACCTGGAACATTCCTTCATTAGTGAACCACATTTTTCCTGCTTGCCCCCATCCTTCTCCATCTATTTGCCATTACCCCATGACATTGTTGCTCTGTTATAATTTGCATTCTGAATGTTCTTCGTTCTCATCTGTCTTATCTTGGGGGCTGTGTGTGATGTAACACGGCAAACCGTTTTGGGGACATGTCCTATTGAGATGACATTTCAGGAAATTGGTTTGTGTCCTCATATTTTGTTTTGTTTTCTCCTTCTGCAAAAATCAAAGTGCGATGTGCATGGCTCTTGGCATTTCTCAGGTGTGGTGGCCTGCGTTGTTTCAGGGAGAGGCGTGCGTTCAGGGGGCTTGGTAAACAGGTAATTGTCTTTTGTCTCTGCCTGCAGCTGTCCCCGTGCTTAGCTGTGAAGCCGCCACACAGACGGAAGGAAGGCTGGACCTGGCTGCAGTGACTTTGAGGAGAGGCTTGAGATCGCGAGCTTTGCGCTCCAGACCAAGATCTTTAATAGATTACAAATCCTACATAGACACCAAGCTGTTGGTGGCCAGGTTCCTGGAGCAATCTTCCTGCACTATGACCCCTGACATCCATGAACTGGTGGAAAACATTAAGTCTGTTTTGAAGTCCGATGAGGAGCACATGGAGGAAGCTATCACCAGTGCCAGTTTCCTAGAGCAGGTAGTTTTATTATTAATATCGACCCTGAATCAGATAATGTGTTTCCAGAGCAGCTTTAGCCCAGTCTTCGATTTCCTGTCCAAGGCCGAGTAAGTTCATGGTCACCATTTCAAGGGAAATGGGGTTAGGAGGTCAGGGAGGGGGAGAGAGGAAGCCAGAGAACTTTCCTTTTAGGTGAAGTGACTTCTCTTTAGCATTCTTGGAGCAAGGCAAAGTGGGGCCATTTATTCTGGGAGGTGGAAGCCTGCCTGGAACAACAAAGGTGCACATAGGATAAAGGATACAGACAACATGGAGCACAATCAGCAAAAACAAAACTAAACAAAGACCCACAATAAAATGAAACATTTGTTTGCTTAGCTTGAAGCTTTCCTTTGCCATGGCATGCATTTTCAGCCCTTTGAAAACAATGACATCTGTGATTTTAATACTGGCAAGATTTTGGGAGCTCCTCACGCGCCTGTGAAATGTTTGGCAATATCAAAAAGTCAGCAGGGTTTAGAGGAATAAACACCTTTTTTTTTTTTGCCTCCTAAATAAAAAGTACAAGGTAGTTCCCCCCAACTAAAGCCACCCAGTAAAAAGATAAAATTGGACCTGGGCCATAGTCCATCTGGATCTCAGATGTCTTGTCTTTCAAGCAGAGGGTTGGACTAGGTGGTCTTTACATGTGGGTCTCTCAATGAATGGACTTTCCTTCAGATGAGAGTTGGGGGGACAGGCTACAGCTTTAATTTAGAAAAAAAAGTTGTCGAATCAACTGACTCATGTTGACTCCATGGTGTCTGATTGGAACTGTTTTCCGTAGGGCTTGTAATGACTGATTTTTGAAAGTAGATTGCCAGGACTTTCTTCTGAGGTGCCTCTGGCTTGTATTCCATCCTTTTGTATAGCAGCTGGGAGTATTCAATAGATCTACTTCTCAATTTCCTTTCTGTTCCGTTTTCTACTTTCTAGGCTTTTGTTACAGAAGCCAGAAACCAAATTGTCTCCCAGTCCCAAGTATAAGCAAGGGAGGAGAGAAACCATTTGATTACTTGTGGGAAGAGCAGCATGGACCATAGACTGTCTTGCTGTTTTGCTTTTTGTCCAGTGGTCCTGAGTCAGTCTCCAGCTAGCAACCTGTGTGTGGGAGACATATCGATCATCCTGCGGTCCCTGGCCAATGCCTGATGTTGTCCCCTGACTGCCCTTCCCTCTGCCCACCCCTGCTAGACCAGTTGCCATCAAGTTAATTCAGACCCATGGTGACCTCATATGTTCCAAATGGAACTGGGCTTTATAGGGTTTTCGTAGTTGATTTTTCAAAAGTAGGTGGGAAAGTTCAGTATCATTAGCCCAAACAAGGCCAGGCATTGACTGTGGAACATACCGTAATTGCTCATATGCAAGTTCCAGCTGAAGCTGAAGAAAATTAAAACAGGTACACAAGAGTCAAAATATGACCTTAAACATAGCCTCCCTGAATTTCAAGAGCATCTCAAGAACAGATTTGATGCATCAGTCACTAATGACAGAAGACCAGAAGAGTTGTGGGATGACATCAAGACATCAGAAATCAAGATCATTAAATATGAAAGAAAGAAAAGATAAAAATGGATGCCAGAAGAGACTGAAATGTGTTCTTCAGCATAGAGATGCTAAAGTGAATGTAAAAGAACTGAAAAGAAATATCTAAAGGGCAGATCAAAAAGACAAAGCCAGGTATTAACAATGAAATTTGCAAAGACCTGGAGTTAGAAAAACAAAAGGGAAGAACATGCTCAGCATTTCTCAAACTGAAAGAACTGGAGAAAAAATTCAAGCTTTGACTTAAAATATTGAAGGATTTTATGGGAAAAATGGAGTCCTGGTGTGGCACTGTGGGTTAAGGTGCTGGACTGCAAAGTCAGTTTGAACGGCAAGGTTGCTGGTTCAAGCTCACCAGCCACTCCTTGGTAACCCAACACAGGGTTGCTATGGGTCAGAACCAACTCGATGGCACTTAACAATAACAATAACATGGGAAAAGTGTTGAATGATACAGAAAGCATCAAAAGAAGATGGAAGGAATACACAAAGTCACTGTACCAAAAAGAAATGGTCAACGTTCAACTATTTCAAGAGGTAGTATATGATCAAGAGCCAGTGATACTGAAGGAGGAAATCCAAACTGCAGTGATAATACCTGAAGGTATTGGATAAAACGAGGCACCAGGAATTGATGGACTACAAATTGAGATCTTTCAACAAATGATGCAGCACTGGAGGTGCTCATTCATCTATGCCAAGAAATTTGACAAAAAGTCAGCAGAAGGATTGCTCTGTGAAGTTGTTGTTGTTAAATGCCATCGAGTCAATTCCGACCCATAGAGACCCTGTATAGGGTTTCCAAGGAGCAGCTGGTGAGCTTGAACCACCCATGTTGCAGTTCGAACCACTGCAGTCTGACGCATTTGTCATAGCGCCACACCTGAGTTTTTTTCCCAGGGTGCTAAAAGCGTAGCTATAAGTTGGAACTGACTCTACTGCATTTAACAATATCAAAAGTGTCATAAGGGGTCTTGGTAGTTAAGCACTAGCCTGCTAGCCCAAAGGTTGGTGGTTCAACCTGGCCAACCGATTGGAAGAGATCCTTATTTGCACCCATTCCAAATAGAGGTGACATTAATAACACATGCAAGTGAAATTTTGCTGCAGATAATTGAAAAACAGTTGCAAGAATACATTAACAGGGAACTTCCAGAAATCTAAGCCAGATTCAGAAGAGGATATGGAACTAGGTATATCATTGCTAAGATCAGATGGATCTTGGTTGAAAGCAAAGACTACCAGAAAGATGTTTACTTGTGCTTTATTGACTATGCAAAGGCTTTTGACTGTGGATCATGACAAACTCTGAATAACATGGAAAAGAATAGGTATTCCAGAACACTTAATTGTGCTCAGGAGAAACCTGTACCCAGACCACGAGGTAGTCGTTCAAACAGAACAATGGTTTAAAATCAGGCAGGGTGTTCACTGGGGTGGTATCCTTTCACCATACTTATTCAACATGTATGCTGAGCAAATCATCTGAGAAATTAAATTAAATAAAGAAGAAAGCAGTATCAGGATTGGAGGAAGATTCACTAACAACCTGCAATATGCAAATGACACAACCTTGTTTGCTGAAAGCAAAGAGGACTTAAAATACTTACTGATGAAGATCACAGACTACAACCTTCAGTATGGGTTACACCTGAATGTAAAGAAAACAACAATCCTCACCACTGGACCAGTTAGTAACATCAAGATAAATGGAGAAAAGATTGAAGCTGTCAAATATTTCATTTTGCTTGGACCCACAATCAACATTCATAGAAGCACCAGTCAAGTAGTCAAACGACGTATTTCATTAGGCAAATCTGCTGCACAAGACCTCTTTAAAGTCTTCAAGAGCACAGATGTCAGTTTAACTAAGTACTAAGGTGCGCCTGACCCAAGCCATGGTATTTTCAATTGCCAAATAAGCATGTGAAAGTTGGAGAATGAATAAGGAAGATTTATAGAAGAATTAATGTATTTGAGTTCTGGTTTTGGAGAATATCGAAAGTACCATGGACCACTAAAAGAACAAACAAATCTATCTTGGAAGAAGTACAGCCAGAATGCTCCTTAAAAACCAGCATGGTTAGACTTTGTCTCTGGTATTTTGGACATGCTATCAGGAGGAATCAATCCCTGAAGAAGGACATCATGCTTGGTAAAATGGGGGGGAGTGGTCAGTGAAAAAGAGGAAGACCCCCAAAGAGATGGATTGGCCCAGTGGTATCAGCAATGGGTTCAAGTATAACAAACATTGTAAGGATGGTGCAAGACTGGGTAATGTTTTGTTCTGTTGTGCATAGAGTCACTATGAGTAGATGATGGCTGAACAGCACCTAACAACAACAACAAGGTGGCCAGGACTGTTTTCTGAGGGCCACTTAGTGGACTAGAATCGCCAACCTTTGGCTTAGTAGCCATGAGCATTATCCTTTTGTCCCACCCATCTAGCTGATAGACAGGGACAAACATTTGGAGCTACTTCTCAAAGGCTGCCCAGCTCTGAAGAGGAGAGATCTGGAACATTAGCTTGACAGCTGGTCTTGACCTCCTGCAAAGCCTTTGTGTTGGTTTCCTAGTGCTCCTGTAACAAAATAGCACAGTGGGGATCTTTAAAGGACAGACATTTATTGTCTTATAGCCTCAGAAACCGTATTCAGGATCTTTGAGTCAGAACCAACTCAGTAGCACTTAACAACAACAATAACAAGTTTTGGTGGTTAGAGGTCCAAATATGGATATTGGCTGTAGGAGAGGGTCCTGACTTGGGCATTCTTTGCTTTATAGAGATTTCTTCATGTGGTCTTTCCCCATGTGTGCTTATGGGGCCTCTCCCTTTTGTAAAAGACTTCCCTCAGAAGGGGAGAATGTTTAGGACCCAGCTTATTCTGGTAGGACCACATTAATATAACAGGAGAAACCTCCTTATTTCTAAACAGAGACACATCACAGGGATGGGGCTTAGGATTTCAGTATAAGTTTTAGAGTTCACATAACTGAATAACTTAACAGTTATTCATAACAGTTATTCTTAACAGTCTTGCTTGCTGAAAAATAGCTCTGAGGACAAAGAAAAAGCACTCATAGTTCAATAGATTTATCACCACAAATGTTTGCCCTAGACCAGATAAAAGCTCAGGTTCTGGAATTGTGGAGACAGACTCTGTCTGCCGGATATTTCCAGAACTAGAGTTCAGCATAAGGTTTGCCCTCTGATCTCCTCAGAGTTCTCATAATGCCACGGCCCCTTTCCAAACAGAAGGAGGCAGGGATAAGTGTACGTCTTATCTCTGACTCTGCTCAGCTTTGCACATTTCCACTTTTCTCCATTACTAGAATGACTCTTGAGGTGGCGCTGTAGGATCAGCACTGGACTGTGAACAGCAAGGTCAGCAGTTCAAACTACCAGCTGCTCCTCGGAAATCCCATACAGGGTCACTATGAGTTGGAATCGACTCGACAGCACTTAACAACAACAGAATGAGATTTTAGATCTATTTACATTTTCACCAATATTGACACCACTTGTCCAAATTAAACACGAAACAAAGCTGTCCTAGTTATCTAATGCTGTTCTAAGAGAAATACCGAAAGTGGATGGCTTTAGAAACCAGAAGTTTATTCTTTCAGAGTTTAGAAGCCAGAAATTCAAATTCAGGGCACCAGCTCTAGAGGAAAGCTTGCTCTCCTGTTGGCTCTGGGGGAAGTTCCTAGTTTTCTTTCAGTATCTGCGGGCCCAGTGTTCCTTGGAGATCTCTGTGTGTCTTGGCTTCAGTCTTCCCCTGGGTCTAGGAGGCTCCTTAGCACAGGGACCCTGAGCCCAAAGCATGCTCAGTTCCAGATTCGCCTTGCTTGGTCACTTTGGTCACTTCTCTCTCAGTCTGTATCTTGTAAGAAGAAAGGGGATACAGGCCACACCCCAGAGAAACTCCCCTCACATGGGATCAGGACTGTGACCTGAGTAAGGGGTTACATCCTCTCCTAATCCTGCCTTATCAACGTAACAAGTATAACCTAATCCTCTTTGATTTACTTAATCCTGCCTCTTAAACCACTGGCAGGGATAAGGATTTATAGCACATAAGGACAATTACATCATCTTCCACAATGGAGGATAACCATACAATACTGGGCATAGGGCCTAGTATAGTTGACTTTTGGAAGTCACCATTTGATCATGAATGTTGGAATTTTCTTCTTAATCAGGAGACAAGGGCAGGCCTTAAAGACAAATAGAGTGATAGAGTCTTAGCAAAATTTAATGCCCATCTCTTTTAAGGATAAAATTTGAAAGCTAAGAATAGTACAAAGGAAACAAAAAGCCATCAGAAGTACCACACTGTGAAGTTAGGTGGTAATAGTGTCTGTTTTTTTTTCCAGTGTGATAAATATGTCGCTATGAGTAGGAACCAATTCAATGGCACTTAACAAGTGTCATAAGGAGCCTTGGCAGTTAACCCAAAGGTTGGTGGTTCAAACTCACCTACTGGCTTCACTGGTGAAACATTTTGAATAGATTCTGCCTCGTAAGATAGAGTCGAACTGCCCCATAGAGTTTGTGATCTTTACAGAAGCAGACTGCTGCATCTTTCTTAGAAAGTTCTACTCATAAGAGAGTCAAACTACCCCATAGATCTTTACGGAAGTAGATGGCTACATTTTTCTTCCTCAGAGCAGCTGGTGGGTTCAAACTGCCAGCCCTTCAGCTGGCAGCCAAGTGTGTAACCACTGTGCCCCCAGGGAGCCTTACTTTAAAAAAAAAATTTTTTTTTATTGTGAATTATGTGGCTTTACTGGTAGCGTAGTGGTTACGAATCGGGCTGCGAACCTTAAGGTCAGCGGTTCGAAACTACCAGCTGCTCCGCGGGAGAAAGATGAGGCTTTCTACTCCCGTAAAGATTTACACCCTCGGAAACCCTATACAGGGTCGCTATGGGTCGGAACCGACTCGATGGCACATAACAACAACAACAAATGTGGCTTTACATGGGAGAACATCCATTTTACATTCATCCTATTGTATTTCATTTCGTTGCAATGATAACAAGCCCCTCCATGCATCATCAAATAACCAAAGGGTACACTCCACAGGCCTGCCCCCCCCCCCATCAGAACAGTCCCTCTCCCTCCCTGAGTCCAGTGTCCCCAGCCACTCCATCTGTCCACATCATCGTCTCTGTCTCCATTTCTGGTGTCACTACTTTTCTGGGTAGGGTCCAGTACTCCGCTCTTCTCACTTGATGGTCTCAGGGACCTCCGCTCCTGGACTGCAAAATCAATCACTCCAGGGTACCTTACTTGGTTACAATCCAAGTACATCCAAATAGTCTAAGGTTCTTGTTTAACATTTGGGTGTCTGAGCCCTGCAGTCAGGCTTGGCACTGGAGATGATGTTTCTGATAAGACCCCTGGTGATGTGTAGAGCCCAGTGAGAGTCACTGGTTTGCCCAAGAGGGAAATGGAAAAAGGGGATGAAAAGAAGGCTGTATATATAAAGTGGGAAGTTGAAGTAGACAAATCAGTTACATTTAGCAGATGTATAGTTGAAACAATAGAAAGTATGGGAAATTCTAAAACAATGAAGTATTCCTGCTTTTCTCTGACCCTGCTATTCATAGGAAATTCCTGTTGTTGATGTTAGGTGCCCTGTTGTTGATGTTAGGTGCCCTGTTGTTGATGTTAGGCACTGATTCATAGCACAACAGAAGAAAACACTGCCCAGTCCTGGGCCAATCTCCTAATTGTTGCCACGCTTGAGCCCGTTGATGCTGCCACTTTGCCAATCCATCTCACTGAGGGTCTTCTTCTTTTTCTCTGACCCTCCACCTTACCAAACATGTTATCCTTCTCCAGTGACTGGTCCCTCCTGACAGTATGTCCGAAGTATGAGAGATAAAGTTTGGCCATCCTGGTTTCCAAGGAGTACTCTGGCCGCACTTCTTCCAACACAGATCTGTTGGTTCTTTTGGCAGCCCATGGCACTTTCAATATTCTCCTCCAATGCCATAACTCAAAAGCACCAATTCTTTTATGATCTTCCTTATTCACTGTCCAGCTTTCACATGCATATGAGGTTATTGAAAGTAGCATGGCTTGGGTCAGGTGCACCTTAGTCTTCAAACTGACATCTTTGTTCTTCAACACTTTAAAAAAAGGTCTTGTGCAGCAGATTTGCCTAATGCAATACGTCATTTGATTTCTTGTCTGCTGCTTCCATGAGTGTTGATGGTGGATCCAAGAAAAATGAAGTCCTTGACAACTTCAATCTTTTCTCCACTGACAAGATCGTTGTTAATTGGTCCTGGGTGGTAGTTAATACACTTGCTGTACAGTTGTAGGTTTGAGTTCACCCGCAGGCACCTCAGAAGATAGGTCTGGTGATCTACTTCCCAGAACACCCATTGGAAACCTCTGAAACCCAGTTCTACTCTGACCCACACATGGGGTTCTCAGGAGTCAGAATTGCCTTGATAGTAACTGTTGTTTTTTTCTTTTTTTGGTTTGCAGTTCTTAGGGACTTTAGTAAAGAGGTGGCATGTTAAAACTAAATCTGGAATTTTAAGTGGCTTCTACTTTGGAAAGGAGCCCTCGTGGCATTGTTAAGCACTGGACTGCTAACCAAGGTTGGTGGTTCAAATCCACCGGCTGCTATATGGGAGAAAGATGAAGCCATCTGTTCCTATAAAGATTTACAGTCTGAGAACACCCTAAGGAACTACTGTGTCCTCTAGGGCCACTGAGTTGGAATCCACTCAGTGGCATGGGTTTGGTAGTTTGATTCCACTTTAGGGGCTTACCCTTTTATTCTTTTCCAAAGTAACTAAATATTGAGATGTATGGATAGATATAGGAAGCTGGTCAAAGTATCTTTGTGAAACTTAATCTCTTCCCACCCCTTTATTGTCCCATAGATAATGGCCCCACCGCATCCCAGCACGGCCAGGACCCACACCCCGCTGGAGCGCAGGCAGCCTGGCCTGCTGCACCTGCAGAGCTGCGGAGACCTGAGCACCTTTGCCCCGGTAGGAAGACCACGAGCTGAGAGGAGGCCAGGGCAGCGAGCAGAGGCTGAACGGCCCCACAGTCTCATCGGTGTCGTCCGAGAGACTGTGCTGTGAGCCTGCAGGGCCCGCAGCAGGGCCAGCTTTCCCGTCCACCTGCAGATCAGGGAAGGAGGAAGAAAGATGGACCTTGGAAAGAAGCTGCTCCACGGGGAAGGAGCCCCTTCAAACGTTCTTCATCATGCAGTTTCGTGTCTGGGAGTTGGGGAGGGGGTTGTGCCTTGAGAACTCCTCAGAAAAAGGGATGCTCCAGAGACCAGAAAACATTTTATTCCACTCTTGGGCTCACAATTTTGTGCATTCAAGGGTGAACAAATGGGCTCTTTCCTACCTATTTGGTCTTTGGAGGCATTGTTGTGGAGGTTGTGAGAGAGGACCGTGTCTGCCTTCTGCAGGTCTTACAGTGTTCCTGAGGGCCCTGGGCATGGTGTGGACTTCTCCTGGCTGTCTGGGCTGGCCAGTCCTTTACCTCACTGGAAGGACAAATCTGTTGGGCTGCTATTTATAGCTGTCTGTTGCCTTCCAGTGCTCAGCGCGAGAGAAGCTGGCACGGAAACAGGATGAGTAACCCCCGTGTGGCTGAAGTGGTCAAGCCTCATTTTAGGTCATCCTCAAATCACACTCTTTAGGAAAAAGAGGAAACTTTGTAAATGACAAATTTTAGTGAAAGACATATTTAGGGAGAGAAATACTGTTGGTTCCATTTATTCATGCTAGCAAAACTAGAGATAGCTAAGTCAGAACTGAGAATAAAAATGTTTACTTTGGACCTCTGGGCTCAGTGTACAACATTTGCTTATGTTTAATTGACCAGATCTTACCTCATGCAGGGTTTGAAGCTTGGGTATCTTATCTCAGGGAAGCAGGTCCCAGGTGGACCCATCAGAACCAAAAAAACCCATTGCCATTGAGTCAGTTCGTGATGACCTCACATATGCCAGAGTAGAACTGCGCTTTATGGGGTTTTTCTGTGGCTGAGTTTTCAGAAAGAGATCACCAGGTCTTTCTTCTGAGGTACCTCAGAGTGGATTCAAGCCTCTCACCTTTCAGTGACCAGCTAAGTGTATTAAGCATTTGTGTCAGGGGCTCCAAATCAGTTGCTATGGAGTCCACTCTTGACTCATGGTGATCCCATATGTATCTGAGTAGAGAACCAGACATTTCTTCTGAGGCACTTCTGGATGGACTCGAACCTCCAACATTTCAGTTATCTGCTCAATGAGTTAACCATTTACACCCCCTCAGAGAGTCCATCAGTTCCACAAACACGAGTTTTAATCCATAGTACCTGCCCCCCCTGTAACAATGCTCCTTCATTCATTTAGCATGTGCCTGGCTGATCGGCTTCATGGGTCTCATAAACAAGAAATCAATTAAGTAATTACAGATTGGGGATTAGTGCTAAAACAGGAAAGGGGTGTTTAGGGACAACTTCTTAGAGGAAATGACATGTGAGCTGAATTGACTTTGAAAGTTGGAAAGCTGTCCTAGGCAGAGGGGGAGGTCATGCAAGGTCCTCAGCACTAGAGGGCACTGTGGCACAGCCCATCGAGTTAGGGGAAAGGTGGGCAGGAACCTCAAAGGCTAGATTTGATGCTAACAATTGGATGGCATTGAAAAGTGACAGACATAGTTTACATCTTCAAAAGACCACCGGTCTGCGTGGAGAATAGTTCAGATGTGAGTGGGAGTAGGAGTTTGAATGAAGAGGATCCCCAGTAAGAAGGATCCTGGTTCTTGTTGGGCTTTACCTGTGTGCCAGGTACTGGGCTTAACACGCATTCTCATTTTGTCCTCACAACAGCCTAGGGCATAGAAACTGCTGTTATCCCCATTTTACAGATGAGGAAAGTGAGGTTTGTGAACTTGCCCGAGGTTGTTCCCAGAAGGTTAGAAGTGGTCGAGCTGACATTCATACCTGAGTAGGCAAGACTATAGAAACCACTCCATACCTCCACCTCCTAAAGAGTAGAAGTTTGCCGTGTCATGGTTTGATGAGAAAGTTAGACCTGTGGGAGCACAGATGCCGCCAGCTCCAAGCCAACCAGCCAGAGGGACTTGGGGAGGGCTCTGTGGAGGGGCTGAGAAGAGGAGAAGGAGTCTTCAGAGGCATGGAGCCGGACGGAAAGTGTGCTTTGGAGACTGATCTGTGAATTGGGGGGATGGGGGAGGCCTAGCCCACTTTCCTGGGGCCAGCTGCATATGCCTGTGGAGAAGACTTGCAGGGACATGACCTTTTCTCCATTGTCATCCAGCCATAGGCTGCCATGTGGGCCCAAGACCTCCCCATTTCGCTGGAAGTCCCTGACACCACCACTGCCCACCAGGGACTCGCTCACTTCCCTGGGGCAAGCTCTTGTCCTTTTGAGGGTCTTCACCGTGCCACACGCCTCATCTGGGCTCCCTACACTACCTACCATAACCAGTAACCAATTGCTGTTGAATTGACTAAATCTTATGGCAACTAACTCCATATGTGTCAGAGTAGAACTGTGGGTTCTAAATGGCTGTTTTTTTCAGAAGTGGATCACCAGGCCTTTTTTTTGGGTGGACTTAAATCTCTAGCCTTTGCATCCCCCTGGGGACTCCGTATCTCCCACAAAGGTTCTTCTCCTCCTTGGCAACTGCTCATTTGCCCCCAGCCTAATTTCTGTTGTTTGAGACCCAGAAGCACTCAGCTGAAGGTGAGCAACATAAGACCTAAGTTACCTCACTCAGGTGTGACCAGGCCCTTGTCTTTCCAGGCTTCTGTTTCTCCCCACCCCTGAGGGCATTTTCTTCCAGAGGCCCAGTGGCATCCCTTTCTACTGCCCATGGGCAGTCTCTGGCTTCCAGCCCTGCAGGAGCAATGAGAGAGATGACTTCAGCCATCCCAGGACATGCCAACAGCAACCAGAAGAGGAAAAACCCAAAACCCAAACCCACTGCCATCATTGATTCCAACTCATAGCAGGGTTTCGAAGACTAAATCTTTATAGGCGCAGACAGCTTCATCTCTCTCCCTCAGCGTGGCAGGTGGGTTTGAACTACTGACCTTGCAATTAACAGACCAGTGCTTAACCCACTGGGTCATTAGATGTACATCAGGAGGAGGAAGTAGGGACCTGTAGTCTGGGGACTGTCCTGATCTTCTAGGATCTGAAAGGGTTGGTGAAATCCGAGAGTTGAGTTCTAGCCTGTTCTCTAGATTTCAAGGAATCTTTACATATTAGAGTATACTGACCTTCAGAGGGAATCTATAGGTTGTGTGAGCCACTCACTATTAATTTGTCCGGGTGGTGGTGGTCAGTATCATGGAGTTTGTTCAGACTCATAGCGACTGTGAATCTGTAAATCTTTGTGGGAGCAGAAAGCGTCATCTTTCTTCCACAGATTGGTTGGTGGGCTCAAGCCTCATGGTTCACGGTTCAGTGTTTGTACAGCAGAGCCATGTGCTCCCCAGGCCTGGGAGGTAATATACTTTACAATGGTGTTGTATACCATTGAGACAATTCCGCCTCAGAGTAATCCTATATGACACAGCAGAACTGCCCCATGGCGATTCTAAGACGTAAATCTTTACAGGAGCAGATTCCTCCAGAGATGCTGGTGGGTTCGAACCACCCACTTTTCAGTTTGCATTGGAGCACCATCACCATTGCACACCAGGGCTCTTTGCTTTAAAACACTTAAGCATGAATTGTAAGATATATCTGGGCAGATGGCAGCGTCATTTACGTGGAGAGGACATTTACATGCATTTGGTTATCAAAATGACACCGAAAGGATTCTTAATGAAGGAGAGTTGTGTTTGGAAAGAAACCTTTTTCACTGATGACAATGATGGTCACGATGTTGGGCTGGCTAGGAAGGTTGATGTAGCCCTGACTGCTACACTGCATTTCTGAGTGTCTGAGGACAGAGAGTGCGACTTTCTCAAGCGGATAAAGCTCTTCTGTGCAGACTTCCTAATGTGTGTTTGGGTCTGACAAGCAGAATTGCTCCAAGATTTACTTTCATGAACTTCCCACCTGAAGGTGAGGTTTTGAAGGGAGGGTCACGTGGCTTCTAATTGCCTGGATTTACCAAAACAACCAGGCATTTACTGAACAGCCTAATTGACCAGGTCTGGTCACTCTACCCCTCAATTTGCAGATGAGGAAATGGAGGCTTGGACCCCACAGCAGAGGCAGGAAACCAACACTCCAGCTCCTGGACCAGAAAGACCTATTGGTCCAGCTCAGAGAGGACCAATCCCCTTCCTCTGCCCTCTATCTATCACAGACCGTATACTATAAAAATCAACTGATTTATCAGGAAGATGAAACGAAAATAAAAAAGGCATACAAAATACTCGGCAGTCATAAACGTGCTTTATCACATTAACATTTCAAAACTCTTTATTTTCATGTTCTGAACTTGCTTGCCATAGAGACCAGGAACACAGAGTTCTTGGCCCAGGTTCATAGCCCACACTTTGAGTGGCACTGGTGTGGGTGCCCACGCCAAGTCAGAGTCTTCATTTCATTCACGCCTGCCTGTGTGGAGGGCCCCGGGGACAGTGATGGAAAGGAACCTGGCAAAGGAGGGGTAGGCAAGCCCCCTTCTCTCTGCACAGGCATCTAGGCTGCCCTGAGTAGAGATGTGTGCTCAGAGAGATGCCCACATTTCAGAGATCGAAGTCTTGGCAAACCCCACGGGATTCCGAAGAGCGGGCAGTGGACAGAGCCCTGGCAGATGTCCAAGCTGAGAGGAATCTAGAAGCAAAGCAAAAGAGCACACCCCACATCCTCCAGTCATAATGAAGGGACCCCAACAAGGCCTCTTTGTTCCTGTAGGGTTTCCCTAGGGCTGGCAACCTTATGGCAGGCTGTGCAAGGGAAGCCAAGTCTGGGGCCAAAAGATACCATGCTTCCAGTCTCAGTGCTGCATTCATCCAGTAAGTAATTATGGAGCTATAGGGTGCTTGGGAGCGGGCCAGGTGCTGCAGAGAGGACACTGAGCATGAAGAGGGACTGACAATAAATAATCAGTACAAAGTTCTATTTGCCTGAGCTACTGCTGAACTGCAAGGCCCT